GAGCTCTATGCCAGCAGAGGCTAGATGCCTTATTTTCTGAAATGGATCTAAGGCACGAAGCTCACTGGTCAGGGCAGGGCTGCTGACCTCGTGAGCCAGAGTGGAGACTTTCCTTCTCTGTGTCTAGCTCTGGGCGCAGTGTGGACACTGGCTGGTGTCTCAGAACTCTCTGGTCACGTATTGTTTCTTAATTTCTAAGCCCCTCCGTTGTGGCTCAGTCTGAAGGCTTGCCTGGCCACAGGCCGCATCTAAACAATTAATGTAAACTGATCACTCTGAAATCAGAGCTGTTTATCAGAGGAGTATAATCTCACCCCATCCTCTTTTTTTTTGTTTTCTGAAATAGTCTTCCAGTATGAAGCTGCTTGTACTGCTAGTGTGGGACCCCTGACCAATGAGCCAGAATCAAGGCTCTCCTTTCTCTAGGCATACCTCTGAGGTATATATACCTGAAGTCACTAAGCACCACTTATTCCTTGGTTTCCAAGCCCTACGTTTTACCTAGTCTCATGGCCTGCTTGCAGGCTGCTTAAAGGTAGCAATGCAATCTGCTTCCCTGAGTCCTTTAGTCTAGAGAAGGAGTCACACCTTCGAGCAGCACCTTGTGCTCTCTGTCATCTGGGGTGAAAGGTTTTCTTCTCGGATGCTGGCCTGTCACACTGGGGATGACACTGTTACCAAATCCCCATGCGGGAAGAGTATGTGTGTGTGTGTGTGGATTTGTCCCATAGCTAGGTCTGCCCGTCTTTTCTAAAGACTTCTAGGCTTCCCTGGTGGCAGAGGCTTCAGCTTCTTCTCTACCCCAGGAGCATTTGGACTGGAGCTGTAAACTGTTTCTTAATTTTCTCCATCTACATTACCCCTTTGTAAGAAGACTGCAGCCAGGTAGACATATAAAGCAAGTAACAATCAGGAGACAGAAGTAAGATGTGCTCTTGGAGAAGGAAGGGCTTATATACAGGTTGAAAATTCACCTGCTCTGCCACAGGTTTCACCTATCCTCTGCCCCTATTCCCCTCCCCCACTCCCTGGGCTGGTATAAAAACTTGAACTCAGGGCCTCTTGCGTTTCCTTAGTTTTCGTTTTTTGTTTGTTTGTTTTTTGCTCAAAGACGATGTTTTAACACTTGAACCATACATCCACTTCTGGCTGTTTTCTCCTTCCTTCCTTCCTTCCTTCTTTCTTTCTTTCTTTCTTTCCTCTCTCTCTCTCTCTCTCTTCTTTCTTTTTGGTTAAATGGAGATGAACATTAAACTGAGGGTCACATGGAGCAAGTCAAATACATGAGAACATTCTGATTATGAAAGAGGTATACCATGACCAGAAACCTATCTGACAACATCCCAGCTATTGAGCATGGAGTGAGAAATAACTAAAAACAATAGCTACTGAATGATAAAAAACTATATGCTTATTTCAGGGTTCTTATTTGAAAATATTGGAAACTAACTCTGAGTCATAATGTAGAGCAATTTGTTAAACAATAGAGACAAAGTGGTTAATGGCTCAACTTCTGAAGAATCAGCGGTAAAGCAAGATCTAAGCTGCTGAGGGGTCATGGACTTTACTTCAACTGTTACTAGCCCAGCAACAATATCGCCCCTCACTCTGACCTCCAGAATCCTCCACCCTCAATTTCAAGCATGACTTGAGCATAATGTCTGCTTGTTCAGTCTATATTCAGGGTTTCCTGAAAACAAACAGGAGTGGTATGTTCTAGGTCACAAAGCTCCTGCTATACCTACTCTTGAGATTGAAAAAGTTAATTTTCTAGCTTATTTTTAGGAGGTAGAAAACATTAGCTGACATAAGAAAGTTGTGGATAAGGTTTAAAAGAGTGAGAACACAATACATAGTCACCACAAAATGTGATACATTGGGCACACAAAACTCATTTAAAATTCACCCATGTCTGTTATTACTTAACTTCTTTCCAATGGATATTAGTAAAATCACACAGTATCCAAGATGAATAGAATCTTAGGAGTTCCTTTGGCCTAATCTTCTCATTTCACTGAGAAATCCATTTCCAAAATAGTTTACCAAATTTACATAACCTACTTACTGGAAAGAACTCAGTTTTTAACTCTTAATATATTTTTTTGTCATCCAATGCACAAAAGAAGCATAACTCAAAGTATATCTTAAAGTTAAAACTGTAGTCACTCTCAGCAGAATACATTGTTTAGTTCTCAGAAAGTTATTTTGGTGATACTGACTTTATATTTCTCAGTGCTATTCACCAATAAGTCCCTAAAAAACTTGCTATACAACTAAATTTTTATTCATAATTCAAATTTTCTATTATCATGAACATAAAAGTATAAGTATACATCAAATGTAATTTCTATATTCTCTGGCTTGATTCAAACTTTCCCTTGATAAAAGGCTAATATTCTTGCAACAACAAAAATAGTTATTTAAAAAAAACCACAAGAGTACATGTTAAGACATGAAGATATCTGGTTTTTGAAGTGAATGTATTTCTTACAAAATGAGAGAAAAATAAAGTAAAAAAAATAGTCAAACAAGCCAGGTGCCGGTGGCTTACGTCTGTAATCCTAGCTACTCAGGAGGCTGAGATCTGAGGATCACGATTCAAAGCCAGCCTAGGCAGGAAAGTCCGTGAGGCTCTTACCTCCAATAAACCACTAGAAAACCAGACATGGCTCTGTTGCTCAGGAGGTAGAACGCTCGCCTTGAACTGAAGAGCTGAGGGACAGCGCCCAGGCACAGAGTTCAAGCCCCATGACCAACAACAACAACAACAAAAAAGTCAAATTATAATAATGAGATTTCTCCATGAAGTTAATATTAAAACTTAAGCAAAGAAAACATTTAACACTATAGCATCTACAGAAAATATACATGTATGTATATATATAATATGGAGATATACTGCATGTTTTTGTATACATATACACAAACAACACAAACATGTACATATATGTATTTATATGCACACATATCATAGACATTTATGACATTTATGTATGTATGCACATACTTTTTTGGTGCTGGCCCTGAGGACTGAATTCAGGGCCTGGGTGCTATTCCTGAACATTTTTTGCTCAAGGCTCTACCACTTGAGCCACAGCTCTTCTGGCTGGCTTTTTTTGATGTTTAATTGGAGATAAGAGTTCCATGGACTTTGAACTCAGAGTCTCATACATCTCCAGCCCTTTCTTCATTTTATTTTGAGACAAAATTTCACTAAGTTGCCCAAACTAGGCTTGAACTGACTATGTAGCCCACTCTGGCCTCAAATTTTATATTATAGGTGTGAGGATTATAGGTATGAGCAATCACACTTGGCTAGAAAATACACATACACTATTAATACTATATGTGCATGAACAAACTCATTAGACATTAAATTATGAGAGTTAACCTCACAATTATGGTGTGCTGAGTCTTATAGTATGAGTAAGTTGGAGAAAAATGCATAGCAAGGGAAAAGAAAAACTAAACAGCTACAGAATTTGAAATTTCTCTGCATCATTGCAGAGAAAACATTTCCTTTTTCTTTTTCTTGTTTTTAATCCAGAATGCAAGAATGGTTCATTATTTAAAATGATCAGTTTATGCTGAACCCAAATGATCACTTATAAAATGTAACAACATATCATATTGTACTCCATAAATAGGTATAATTATTATGTGCTAATAAAAAATAAAAGTTTAAAAAGTCAATGTACTTGACCTCATTAACTTAAAAAAAGAGAAAACCATCTAATAGATAAACGTCTACTTCTTTTAAATCTCAACAAATTAGGATGTATTATTTATTTTTATTTCTTACTCATTGATTTTGGTGGTACTGGGGTTTTGAACTCAGCTTCATGCTTCCTCAGGTAATCTATAGCTTAAGACATTATTCTATCCTTTTTTGTTCTGGTTATTTTCTGGGTATGTGTACCAGTACTGAGGCTTGAACTCAGGACCTCAAGCTCTACTCAGCTTTTTCACTCATGACTGGAGCTCTACCACTTGAGCCACATCTCTAGTCGGGCTCTTTGCTACTAAGAGATAAGAGTCTGACAAACTTTTCTATGTCGGCTGGCTCTAAGCTCATATTTGTTGTTCACTGTAGGTAATAAATCTTTTTCTTTATGGCTTTCAAGATTTTTCTCTTCACTTTTTAGCTTATCAATACATTCATTATGGTATGTGTGCTTGTGTGTGTCTGTTTACTGTGATTAGTTTTTTATTTTAACTTTAAAAATTAATATTTTTTAGCAGTATGAGTAGTTTATTCTTGAGATAATTTCTAAGAGCAAAATATGGACATGCTTATTCAGATTTAAACACTGTCCTAGAAGCAAGAGTATCATGAGTTGCAGGCCAGCTTGGTATTTAGTGACAATCTTGTCTCCAACTGGGGAAGAAAGGATAGAAAGTATAATAATGTCTGATTTTCTTCATTTAAATAATTTTATGGTAGTGAAAGATAACCAATCATGATCTAGGTAGCAGTACACAGTCAATAACACAAAATAATTTCTGTAATATAGAAAATAAGATAGGGGACTAAGATCAATCTTAATACCACCTAGTATTTAGTTGGTTTGTTTTTCTGCATGGAATTGAACTCAGTGCCTTACGCTTGCTAGGCCTGGGCTCTATCACTCGAGCTGTAACCTCAGCTTGTACAACCTAGTTTTAACCTGAAAGAAAACAATAAATTCTATAATAGTTGATACAATAGGTGATATAACAATCAACTACTTAGTACATAGTCAACAAAGAAACAGACATGTAAGATACTAGACTAGAAGTCTGTGAAGAAAAAAATAAAAAAATAAATCATTTACCATCTTCAAGGGTAACTTTTACAGGAAAAAAATTACCTACCTATTCAAGACTTAAAATTTTTGTAAAGATATGTTCGCTTTGTAAGTAATATAAAGTTGTTGGGTTGATTATGGGTTATTTTTACATTGTATGTAATATATACCATGAACATAAACTGTATCCAGGTCATTTGATGAGATACTCACAGAATGATTGCAAGAAGGTTCCAGTATTACAGGTAATGACATTTTCCCTTGAAGATTCAATTTTGTTAAATAAAAAATCTTTTCCCCCACAATCTTTTCCTTTTTCATGCGATGTACACCATACAGTCTAAACCGAACTGCATAATTTCCAATCATCTCAGATTCAACATGATTGAATTTGAATGTTTCTGTGAAGACAGGGCAAGGTCCTCTCTGGATGCTGGTTTTTGCTCTCTGTTTCTTTATAGGTAGAAGAACAAGGTGTACTTGCCATGAGTTGCCACCTGTCCTGTTATATGTTGGGATGTCTGTGACAGCTGTCACTGTTACCAGAAGCTTCTGTTCTTGTGAGTCATAGTCAAAAGTCACATCCAGGGTGCCATATTTAGCTTCTGGCTCAGGATCAAAAGGTTTAGGAAGCTGTGAAGAGGATCCTTGAGCTGACATGTCCTAAAAAAAGCAAATTTAAATGTTTTCAGTTTTAAACTCTATTACTGAATCTACCATGTAAATAAGTGACTGATATTTCTTCAGTGTATGATATGAAAACAATTTTCCTCTGCTATCACAATGAAAGTATAATAATTAGCACTCAGCTACAATGACAAACTACCCTGTTGGACTAGATTAGTGTCATCAGTAAGTAAAACTAAAATCTTAGTACAATAAAGACACACTTAGAATGTAATATTCCCTATCATAATGTTGAGGACAGTAAATATGTTTTCATAAATGATAAATAAAAATATATCTTAATGTATATCTGGTTTTTTTAAAGTAGAAGACCACCAAGTTTTACTTGAGACATAATCAGTAGCTACAACTAGCAACTCAACATTAGGCGAGAAAGGAAGAACATGTGAAATACAATGGCAGAGAAAACTTGGATTCCATTTTCAGTGCTTGTTCTAACATATGTATCTCTAAAACACAATACCAATTTATCTCAACTTAAAACTCAATGCAAATGGACAATATGAAAGCATAATCACAAAGGCCCTTAAATATTTCTGCAGCCAAGTATTTTTCTCCAGACCATAGACCATAGTTACTCCGATTCTTAGCTGGAATTAAAAAATAAGGTATGATATTCTAATACTAATTTCCAAAATTGCAAAAAGCTAGAAACTGCACCCATTTTTCTACAATTGCCTCAAATTCCTGCCAGTCTATCTAGAATATACTGGGAGTTTCATCATTCTTAAAAAAGGTATAAAGAAAACAGTCCTTTCTCTTTCACAGAGTTTGGATCAAAGTTTTATGAAACCATTAGTTGGTAAGAGGTCATCAAGAGTTATGGACGCCTCCTATGAATTCTTCTGAGCCCTTTCTTGACTATCAGTTGGATCCTGTATGTTGATAGGCTCTATGGTACCAAAAGCCTGGGTTAAACCAAGAAAAATACAAATTTTCTATTTGATGCATAATGTCGAGGACAGGGATGCAAAATAAACTGGAAAAAACAAGAGTGAATTTATTACTAGCTCAGGCTATCAGAATTCCACATCTAAATATTCATACAATGTGCATTTTCCATATATATATATATATATTTTGTCAGTCATGTGGCCTGAACTCTGGGCCTGGGCACTGTCCCTCAGCTCAAGGCTAGCGCTCTACCACTTGAGCCACAGCACCACTTCTGGCTTTTTCTGCTTATGTGGTTCTGAGGAATCGAACCCAGGGCTTCATGCAAGCAAGGCAAACATTCTACCACTGAACCACCTTCCCAGCCCAGCATTTTCCATATTCTTTTAATTCATCCAATGATGGTATAAGACACACAAAAACAAATAGAATGAAAGGAATTCTAAAGAAGTATTAATGCAGATAACAAGTTAGCAGCTTCTGAAATAAGGGGAAAATAGAGTTGACTATTGAGGTAGGTCAAGTAGCTTGTGAGACACAGGCAGAGCATAGTAACTAAGCTGACAACCTAGAAAATGTGTCAAAGGTAGAAAAACTTCAGAGAATAAGATGGCATGAATGGTACCTACAGTTATGGATGGAAAGCCCAAGCCATGATCATGTGGCCTCTGGGTTGATGGCTTCTTTCTCCAGGTGTTCAACTTAGGAAATGCAGATAAAAGCCTACATCTGTTTAGCAGGCTATCAGGCAAATCTCAGTGGGTAGCCATGTGTATTTGCTGCTGCATCTCTCCCATAAAATGAATGAGCCTTTAGGTACCCTTAGTCAAATCTTAACTCTGACCTTGCTACCAACGATAAATAGGAATTCTGATGGAACAGAAACAGAAAGACTGGTATATGGACACAGAAGCAGCCACAACTCACATAGCGTGAGCTTTCTATCCACACCTGCTTACATTCTGTTCTAGATGTGGTAATCTGCATCATCTTGCTCTTATTTCTTGCTGTGTACCCTGAACAGATGAACACATGTGTGTATGTTCGCATGTATGCATGCACACTCATTCATGTGATTTGAGCATTTCAATTTGGTCTGTGGCCCTCTGGGAGAGCCTGCTTTATGGTATTTTTTTTTTACAGTTAGACAGACATGGGTGTTTGGATCACAGTTCCATTTAAGAGATGCTTATACTTGGGGAAATTGCTTCTGAGTCTTAATTTTTCATTTGTAAAAAGGAAACAATACTTCTTATAAACATGATTGGTGGAATTAAGTGGACTAGCTAAAGCTCATAGGAAAATTTCCAGCACAACTCATGACAACAACTGCTGTTGTTAATTCTACAATTCATGCTTCATTGTTAACTTACTGTCAACCTATACAGCAAAACCATAAAGCAAAGATCTCAAATTTATTTAACTGAAAGAGCACAAAGAAGCATTGGTCATGGAAATCCATAACATACTGATATGCAAACAGGTGTTAAATATATATTGATAGGTATCCATTTAGAATTTTTTAGCTACTGTCATACTAGAAATATTAGGTAAGTAGTAACAGGTACAAAAGTACTTTTCAAAATTATAGAAGAACTTCCTCCATTAAGGCAAGCCTATCTGCACCTTAATTGTTCTTCGAATTGAGAAACTATCTTCATTATGTACTTCTGACTGCTGATTGGAAAATCTACCTAGTAAGAATGCAGATATGCTATGGTATGAATCAATGTTTTCAGGAAGTTGTAAAAACTTGTAATCTAAATTAGTATGTGGAAAGCAAATCCTAAAAATAAGTAACTGTTTTAGGAAAACATTTTTCAATATTTTTATCACTACAAGAAGATTAAAACAAATCCTTTTAAAAATATGACAATACTCTGACATGGTAGCAATTATATTTATTGTCATTTTTATATTTTTGCTCCAAAATATCACTTAAACTCAGCTAACTACTGATGCATGATAACATAAACTCAAATTTCATCAGTAAAAATGATCAGCATTTTCCCTTCTCATTTTCTATAACATTAAAATGGGACTATTTTGAAAGGCCTGTGAAACATTAATGAGTACTCTCTTAACACTAAAAAAATCCAAAAAAATTATAAAAGAATACAAATAGTAATCTCAAGATGAATGAAAAAAGATAATTTTAGAACATTGTATAGAAAGTGTTTTTTTTTTTTTTAAATAGATAGCAACCCATCTTTAGCTACTCATCATTCCTTGGGGAAAAGAGGAGCTAAAAATTAGCTGGGACAGCCCTGGTAAGTTGGTTGGATAATAGCTGCATTAAGGATCTGGTACCATAAGCTACGAAGGGATAAGATGACTCCCATTCTTCTCACTAAGAGGAGAGGCACTGGATTGTTTTTTTATCCTCCACATCACAATCATTTTCGACCTTCTGTATGCTTTTACTTACTTCTGGGCTCAGGACTGCAGTGCTGTCACTTGGAACATCTTCTTCGTATCCTTTATTATGATAGCTTTCTATTTCATGACCTGTGCTCCCTTCACTTGGGCACTTGTTGCATGAGCATCTTGGACTGTTGTTGCAGTGGGAAAATTCACATTTACTGTCCCCAATTTCTGAGGGTGTACATGAGAGATGGGGAGAACCACTGTCATCCTGATAGGGTGGTGGCTGCAGTTCATCCAGTGGGGGCGTTCTTCTCATCCTCTGGATGCAGTTTCCTGATAATAGTTAAGAATCGGGTCACTGTTTCCAACTAGCCTCAACATACAGAACAGTGTACAATAATTACAAAGAAGTTCAAAACTGATTAAAAATTATGTGGCAATGCAGCTGTTGGCTCTACTACATGAATTTTCTTCTCACCTACTTCAGGTGCAGAAATAAAATAATCTGGTTCTCCTCTCCTCTCCTGTGTGGTAAGATCAGGAAAAATAAAAGTCATATTAAGAGAGATTCTGTAAAATACCATTAAAATAAGTTCTAAGCCGAGTGCTGGTGGCTCACGCCTGTAATCCTAGCTACTCAGGAGGCTGAGATCTAAGGATCATGGTTCAAAGCCAGCCTGGGCAGGAAAGTCCGTGAGGCTCTTACCTCCAATAAACCACTAGAAAACCAGACGTAGCACTGTGGCTCAAGTGGTAGAGCACTCGCCTTGAGCTGAAGAGCTGAGGGACAGTGCCCAGGTCCAGAGTTCAAGCTCCATGACCGACAAAGAAAAAAGAAGCTAAGCTATAAAAACAACAACTTCTAGTTGCATATGCAAATGTTTTTAAGTTCAGTCTCAACTGACACAGCTTCTAAAGCATTAATATCTTCCTCTAAGGATGCAAATTTAATCAACCATTGAATTAAGCTAAGTGATGATATGTAATACTTACTGGACCATGAAGTCAATTCATAGTTTCCCAATGCAGTGGGAAATTTGTCCTTCACTTTTGTTCTAAGAAGAGAGGGTGATTTCTCTCAGAAATCTCAGCATATTGCTCATAGATCTTACCAGACAAAAGTGAGTATATCTATTACTAACCCTTCCCTGGCAGGAGAAATGGGATTATCATAACTGGCTTAGGAATTTGAAGGCTAGCTTCACTTTCATACCAATATAGAAAAGAGTAGACACCTGAACAGTATAGAAGCCAGCAAGGAACAAAACAGAGAGAAGATCATGACTAGGAAACAAACATGATGGTGTATATACCTTCTTTACGTTCCAGTTTGCCAACTGGATCTCAGTTTTCATTTTGTTTACAATATATTTTTCCTCTGTGGTTCCCCCTCCCCCACCTCGACTTCAAAACAAAATTTCCTTTTGCTTGATCAAGATGGTATAATTTTGTTTAGCTTATGTTTTCATTTTATCGTGGCCTTCTTGACAATCAACTAGTACTTTATTACAACTAAACTCCAGTCATCTGGCTTTTGTTTAGATTTATTGTTACTCTTACTCCAAAGACCAAGGCACAAATTAATTATACAAGGAAGTTTGTGATATCAAAAGATTCCAGCTATGCTCAATGGGTAGATTTTGATACTGTTTTCTAGGTTTGTCCGAGTGAATTGGAATGTGTAACTTACCATGATAAGTCTTTAAAATACAATGCTATCCTGACATCTTTATGATTGTATTTCACTTTTCACAGTGAAGAACAGGCAAATGTGTACAGAATTAAAAATTCATTAAAATACATGATCATAAGGATTTCTCCTTTTAAACATTTGCAGTAATTTATTTTTGTTCTATTTGGCAACTATTTTGTGCTATCTACCTAGTATAATAACTAAGACTTGACTTAAATTTAATTAACATTGGAAAAATTTTAAGACAAGTTCATAAAGTAACATGATCTATTTTATAGTTTAAATACACAGAAAACATTAACATTAAGAAGAAATTTCTAAGAAGACTAACAAATACCAAAATAACAACACCTTCTAATTACCTTAGTTCTTGATTTACTATTTAATTTTCTATAAAAATGATATACTCTTTTATGATATAAAAGATTTCAGCATAAATACGCCTATAGCATCAATTTACTATCTTCCTACTACACAGCACCTAAAAGAACACAAAGTGTTTTCTTACCCTAGGAAAGATAACATGCATACACACATAGACTAGGACCTATAGTCCTTAATCCTAACATCTTAAGTAGTAGTTAAGAACTACAAGGAATGAGTGTTCAACATCTACTCAATTAGTTTTTAATACATGTGAAAATTTGCTAAAACTTTCTAAAATACACTGGGTAATAAATTAAAGTTCAGCATATTTTATAAAGTTAGAAGTGTAAACATGGAATCTGACTGCTGTGGAATTAAACCAGAAATCAGAAAGAAGAACAGAGAATTGATAGAAAACTAAATAACTGGACATAAAATGTACTCCAAATGATCCATGGATCAAAGAAAAAAATAAGAATTGAAATTAGAAATACACTAAAGAGGCCAGGTACCAGTGGCTCATGCGTGTAATCCTAGCTTTTCAAAAGGCTGAGACTGAGATCTGAGGATCCAGGTTCAAAGCTAGCCTGAGCAGGAAAGTCTGTGAGACTTTTATCTCCAATAAATTACCAAAAAAAAAAAAAGCCAGAAGTAGAGCTTCGGCTAAAGTAGTGAAGCAGAGCACTAGCCTTGAGCAAAAGAAGCTCAGAGACAATGCCCAGACCCCAAGCCCCAAGTTCAAGCCCTAGAACCAGCAGAAAAAAATAAAAATATAAAGAGATGTCTTCCCTTCTCTTACTCGTTCTCAGTCCTTCTCCCCTGTCTTTACCCACGAGTTGTATAGCTCCTTTTCATCAGTGTCCAGTGAACTCTACTAATGGTATTAGGAGAGAGTGAGGGAAGGGACGACACTACTCATTACCTGACTCATGGTTGTGGTGTACATGAGACATGTTCAAACAATGACAATTTACCTAGACAAACAAACCAGCCTGAGATGGGCCCCACTAGCCAAATCCCACTAACAATTTGAATTTCCAAGTAAATAACTACAGTAATGGATTATGACTCATTGAATAAAAAAGGAAACCAGGGATTTGCATAGATACAAGGAAGCATATGAGTACATTGAAGGATTTTTAAGAAACCAGAAATGTATATAGCTACAAAGAATCTTTTTATACATTATTTATTGGTTACACAGGGTCATTTTACAGAATTTAAAACTGGTCGGTATCATCTTAATGAATAGATCAAAATGAGTATTATAATGTGTCCCACCTGCTAAGATATAATGAAAGAAATATACTTCACAAAATATAGAGAATGCTCTACAAAACAGTTATACAAGCTATCAAAATGGTCCCCAGAAGAAGTATAAAAGTTATGTAATCTAATTACTATAGAAAATAAACAATATTAAAAAAGTTCCCCCAAAGGATAATTCCAGGCCAAGATGGTGTCATCTATGAATTTATCAAAAGGTTACCACTTGCACAAACCAAAAAGATATTTCTTACATTATTTTATAGTATAAGTGTAACTCTGAAACCAGGATTCCAAAGTGAAGAAGAAGAGGAAGAAGAGGAGGAGGAAGAGGAGGAGGTCATGTCTATAATCTTAGCTACTAAGGAGGTTGAGATCTAAGGATAGAGGTTCCAAGTCAGTGTGGAAAAGAAAGTCTGAAAACCTTATTTCCAATTAAGCACAAGAAAAAAAGAAGAACTGTGGCTTAAGGTATAGAGCACTAATCTTGAGCAAAAAGAGACTCAGGGACAGTGCTTAGGCTCTGAATTCAAGCCCTGTAACTAATCCCCCCCCCCCCCCACCCAAAAAAAAAAGTGAACATAGACACAAACACTCTAATCAAAATACTGGTCAACTAAACCCAGGGTTATATATACAGGGCACTGCATTATAACTAACTTGGATGTATTCTAGGAGTGCTGGCTTATTTTAGGTAGAGTTAACATTTAAAATTTATTTTATACTCTCATTGCACTGACAGAATAAGAGATAAAAGTATCATGGTAATTCTAATAGTTTTTGAAAAACCATTTAATGTCAGGTGCCAGTGGATCACACTTGTAACACCAGCTACTCAGGAGCTTGAAAATATGAGGATCAAGATTCAAAGCCAGGCCAGCAGGGAAGTCTGTGAGATTCGTATCTCCAATGAACCACCAAAAAGCTGGAAATGGAACTGTGGCTCAAAGTGGTAGCGCACTTGTCTTGAGTACAAAAGCTTGGAGAAAGTGCCCAGGTTCTGAGTTCAAGCCCCAGGACACACGGACACATGAACAGACAGACAGACAGACAGACGGACAGACAGACAGACACACACACACACACACACACACACACACACACAAGCCCATACAAGCATTTGATAAAAATCATGACATGCTGATGATGAAATATCTGAACAAATTAAGAATAGAAGGTAATTTCCTTTATTTTAAAGAGTATATGGTTGTCCTACAGCAAACATATTTAATGGTGAAATGTTGAAAGTTTAACTCTGAGCTGGAGAATGAGAACAGGTGTCTCTATCACCACTTTTATTCAACAATATACTGGAGGTTCTAGCCAGTGCAATAAGGTAAAGAAAGGCAATGCAAACTGAAGTACAACTGTCATTACTCTCTGATAATGAGTGTGATGTAGAAAACCAAAAATGATTTAGAAATAATCTATTAGAATAAACTCAGCAAAGGCCCAGGAAATGAAGTTATTGTTTTACTAAGCAGTTGAATTTCTACACACATGCAACAAACAGAAAGTAAAATTTAAAAAGAAACCCACATATAATATCAGATAATACCAAATAAGAATTAGCTTGCTATTTTTTCCAGCTCTTGTTTAGAATGTGTACTACTGGCAATTAGTGGACTCAACTTGTAACCCAAAGGAAAAGCAGAGATGTCAGAATTACAGGTTTGGTATGTATATGCCTTCCCTAGCTTGGTCACTGTAAAAATTAATGGGTTTGAAAAATGGTGGCAGATTATCATAAGCTTAATTAGAAGATGACTTCAACTGCAGTTGCCACTCCAGATGGTGCATTCTAATTGAGCAAATTAAGACATTCTTGGTGTTTAATACTCAGTATTAGTTAGCAAGTGGTTTGGGTTTTTTTCTTTTTCCTTTGTAACAATCCAAAGAGAACAAAAGTTAGCAGGCTGTCTTCAATCTGGTAAATCCAGTAACACCTCTACTTTCTTGCTTCAGGAAAGTAAAAGTATTCTAGCTCTATACTACACTCTGTTGCTCA